CTACTTCAGCTGACTGCAGTTCGGCTGTTCAAATCTCACCGGCTCAGGGTTGACTCAGCCTTCCATCCTTCCGAGGTGGGTAAAATGAGGACCCGAACTGTTGTTGGGGGCAATATGCTGACTCTGTAAACCGCTTAGAGAGGGCTGAAAGCCCTATGAAGGGATATATAAGTCTAACTGCTATTGCTATTGCTATAGTCTCTTCTTCGAAACCTCCAGTGGTGGAGCACCCAGAACTTCTGGAGGCAAGCAGTTCCGCTGATTAATTGTTCTGACTGTCAGGAAATTTCTCCTTAATCCTAGATTGCTTTTCTCTTTAATGATCTTCCACCCATTATATCTTGCCATTAGACATACCTAGTTCCCACAAGGATTCATCATACACTTTAGCCTCCAGCCACCTAACATTTGAGAAATTCTAGGAGTTGAAGTCCACAGGATGTAAATTAAGCCAACATCCAGGGTTCCATGGAAGAAATACCTTTGGCCTTGTGTCTACGACGTACATGAACTGGCTCCCTGCTTTGGCTTCCCTAATCGCCTGCAGCATCTGTTCATCTTCCAGGCAGCGAGTGCTAAATCCAGACAAAGGTTGGCTGCATCTGCAGATGGCGGCCTGAAATACAAAGGATGCGTAGAGTGTAACAGACATTCAGAACTGAGCACTGATGTACCTACTCTTCCTTTTCAATTTGGATGCAACTTTTGCAAGACTACTGAGAGGTGTTGACAAGGGCATGCATGAATATCAGAAATATGTTTGGGATAAAGTAGTACAATTTGGAAAGAGAGGTTATATAGTTTGAATACTCCTTGGATTGAATTAAAGGCAGTCCTTGACTTACAACCATTTATTTAGCGACCGCTCGAAGTTACAACAGCAGTGAAAAAGTGTCACATCCATTTTTCACACTATGACTATTGGGGCATCCCCATGGTCATGTGACCAAAACTTGGCTGCTTGGCAACCAATGTATATTTATGATGACTGCAGCATTCCAGGGTCACATGATCACCATCTGTGATCTTCTCACCTGGCTTCTGACAAGCCAAGTCAATGGGGGAGGACAGATTTGCTTAAGGATGGTGTAATTCTCTTAACCATGGCAAAAACGATTGTAAAATTGGGTAAAGAACAGCCTTGCTTAATAATGGAAATTCTTGTCCCAACTGTGATCATAAGTCTTTTCCAAGAAGATATGATCATTTTGTGTTCTCTTTCTTTTGCTCCTTCATCACCTTCTATTTATTTGCCATCGATATGGGGAAAATGCTGAGAAAGGAATGCAAGTGAACCAAACAATGTTAAAGGGAAATTTCTCTAGGAAATTTAAATCCATCCCAAAGTAATTTTGCCCAGCCTTGAGGTGAGAGCACTATAGGAACAATGAAGCTGGCAACTCAGCAGTTTCTTCCACACTAAGAATCAGTCCCTCAATCAGCCAAGTAATAAAAGAAATTATCTGCTCCAAGCTATTTCCCTCTGGTTCAAAAAACAGATCAGCAGAGATGAGATGTAATTAGTTGAAGGCTGCCCTGCGTAACTCATTTTGAGGATTGAAAAAGCACAAGATGCCTTTTAGGCTGTTCTAAATGGAAAGTTGCCATCTAGAACTTCACACAATTGAACTTGATGACATATATTTCCCTAAGATCCAATGAAGGGAGTTGCTGCAGTCAGCAGAAATTTTAGCAACCAACTGGCCTCTCCAAAATCCAGTGGCCATAAAGAACATTGCACAAGGAAGGCATTCCTCCCAACCAGCAAAGGCTGATCTTTGCTGGCAAACAGCTGGAAGGTGGCTGCACTCTCTCCAACTACAACATCCAGGAGTCTACCCTCCACCTGGTCCTGAGTCTCAGGGGTGGTCTTTAAACTTTCTGCTTGCTTACAACTGTTGAAGTAAACTTCACTGCACTTTGTTTCAATAAAGCTATTGGGATCCCCCCCCCCCAACACAAAAAAGAACATTGAACTTAGCTGGATTCCAAACACTTGCGTACATTAAAAGATACACAGCCTAACATGGTATTTTCCAAGTGCTGATGGTGTTTTTAAAACAAGCAGGTGCCTTGAATCCAAGATCTACAATGGTTCCCATTTTATTCAGAAAAGGCAGTTAGTGTCATGCTTGCCTAAGGTGATCAGACGTCCCGATTTTGGCGGGACAGTCACGATTTNGTATACCACTTCAGATAAGTGACTGTCTAGACTTTTCTCAAAATCCTCTAGTGATGGAGCACCCACGATTTCTAGTGGCAAGCTGTTCCACTGGATAATTGTCCTCACTGTCAAGGACGTTTCTCCTTAATTCCAGGTTGCTTCTCTCCTTGATTAGTTTCCAACCATTGTTTCTTGTCCTGCCTTCAGGTGCTTTGAAAAATAATTTGACCCCCCTCTTCTTTGTGGCAGCTCTTCAAATATTGGAAGACTGTTACCATGTCCCCCCTAGTCCTTCTTTTCTCTAGACTAGCCAAACCCAAATCCTGCAATCGTTCTTTATATGTTTTCATTTCCAGGCCTTTAATCGTCTTTGTTTTTCTTCTCTGCACTTTTTCCAAAGTTTCAACATCCTTTTTTAGTATATTGTGGTGACCAGAACTTGGAGGCAGTGTTCCAAGTGTGATTTTACTAAAACTTTGCAAGCGGTACTAGAAAGTTGCATGATCTATATTCTATAGATTCTATCCCTCCATTAATGCAGCCTAGGATTGTGTTAGTTGTTTGCCAAGGTCTCCAGTTCGTCTCCACCTGTAGCCTTTCTGACAACCTTCTGGCCAAGCAATTCTGACCCACTGAGCGGATGTTTTCAGCTGGCTGTGGTGCAGGAAAGCCTCGATCTTGGGCAGGACGAATAGAATAGAAAAGAAAAGAATTATTAGAGAATAGAAAAGAAAAGTATTATTATAGAATAGAATAAAATTATTAAAGAATAGAATAGAATTATTAGAGAATAGAATATAAAATAGAATTATTAGCGAATAGAATTGTAATAGAATAGAATTATTAGAGAAATTATAGAAAAGAACTAATAGAGAATAGAATTAGAGAGTAAAATAGAATTATTAGAGAATAGAAAAGAGAATTATTAGAGAATAGAATAAAATTATTAAAGAATAGAATAAAATTATTAGGGAATAGAATAGAATAGAACTATTAGAGAATAGAATTATTAGAGAAATTATAGAAAAGAATTAATAGAGAATAGAATAGAATTATTAGAGAGTAAAATAGAATTATTAGAGAATAGAAAAGAAAAGAATTATTAGAGAATAGAATAAAATTATTAGAGAATAAAAGAGAATTATTAGAGAATAGAATAGATTTATTAGAAAAATTATAGAAAAGAACATAATTAATAGAGAATAGAATTATTAGAGAATAGAATAAAATAGAAAAGAATAGAATTATTAGAGAATAGAATTATTAGAGAATAGAATTATTAGAGAATAGAATT